AACTGCTTGTTCTGAGGTGAATGGGACTTGGCCTCTGCAAGCAGAGTTGAAGAGGCGACGGTGAGAGGAGGGAAGGTGGGGGAGGCGGCGAGGCGGGGACAGGGGCGCTCCTCTGAATGAAAGTGAACTTGGGGCGAGGCGGGCACGCTCTGTTCAGCGCTCGGCTGTAGTGCTTCTTCTTGTTTACCACGCTTGTCTAACATGACACGTGTGTGTGTGTGCGTGTGTGTGTGTGTGTGTGTGTGTCGCTCTGCCCGACCCACGACCCGACCTTGGCCAACAAAGAAGACGTTACCCGGAACCAAGATACTCAGGGCTAAAAGGGCCGGCCTGTATGGCATAGCTGCTTCTGGAGCCTCTCAAGCTGGAACGCTCGCTACTGTTGTAGGATCGAGTCCCTCAATCTCGGGGACTCAACCTCAGGCTATGCTCCAGTGGTCTCGCGTAGTCTCCATTCCTATTCGATTTCTTTTCTTTTTAATTTTTTGGCATTTTGCTCACCGTTCTTCCTTTTTGCACTGCCCTCTCAGGTGGTGGCGGCTGGTGATCGCTGGGACCTGAAGCCCACCGACAAACGCCACGCCGTTGCCGAGGAGCGACCGGGGGGTAACCCTTCATGCCCGGGAGGAGAGCTGAGGGAGAGATGACACCGTGCAGCAGCTGGAACGCGGAGACGCATTCCTGGGCGCCAAACCCGTGATAGGACGCATCGTCCCACCGTAAAAGAAAGAGAATGGAATAGATTTTAGGTCCTAGAGGACAATTACTCTGTCTCTGTTATAACTGTACAACCTGTAAATTGAAAATTAATAAATATTTTTTTCTATTTTTTTAAACAATTGTTTTTTTTTATGATTGTTTAAGACGCATTCTATACCGGGGAAGTTTTGCTGACCTAAAGGACATGCGATCACCTGGATCAATTCCTCAACCTGCCAAATGTTGCCGTTACACGGAGGTATTTGCCATTGGTTCGTGCTTTGTCGGTTGAGATATACGGGACACTCCTCGGGCCAAACCCGCCTATCTCAACTGGTTCCGGGCCAGGTGTAATAGATTGCCTCGCCAGTTTGTACAGTGGCACTTCTGCAAAAATGCGTACGAAAAGTCACGCAGAAATATAACGGGTGGCTGATTCGCCCCTTTCCAGTTGTGGTTTTACTGCACCGCACATGCACGCGGGCTGGTACAGGATTGACCATATCGCCTGAGGGGTCGTCCCGACTGAATGCACTCAGATTAATTCGGTATTTTTCAGGAGCTTCGCGCCTACGAGACTCAGGATAGGCCACCCCGCCCTACATGCATGCACTGCAGGCGAGATTTTGCCTATCTACCAGGCGTATGCACAGATGTGGTCCTAGTATCTCGAACCCTGAACGTTGACCACAAACTACACACTACACCCATTCTAGTGCTCGTCCGCGTAAATATTCAAGAATTCTCCGGCGGCACCCACCACTTTCCTCGGAGTCTAATCTCCCTCCTTCCCGACCGCTTTTTTTTTGGCAAAGTCTTACCTCTTGTATTCTTTTCTTTTTCTCGTGTCCTCGAGGACGCAATTAGGACGTCCCACCGGACAGCCTGCTGGTGTTTCCTGGAGATAAATTGAAGTGACAGCTCCGCGATCCTCCCGCGGGAGTGCGGGCGGGGGTTGTGAGGGGGG